CCCCTTGAAATACTATACATGACTATCTTGTGTTTTTTCTTTCTTTCACGCTTATATTATTTCCTCATTTCTACTTTTATTTAGATGCTTATAAATAAATCTCCGTGTTAAGCATATAATACACTATTTTCAAAATTAAAATTCATACAGTATGACAAAGTTATTGGCACGCTGATGTGAAGGCTAGTCCGCATATATTTGCGTTTGAGTGAGGTCAGGGATGGACAAAATACTTTAAAAATGTATTTAATTACAAATTCATTTACATTTTTACGAAACTGAGTATTAAAATACAAGAAACAAATACAACGAGTGTATTTGATAATCTTCAAATAATGTTTCAAATACATGTTGTCCTCACAATTCGACATCTTAGACTTAAATTTAACCCAGTTAAGAAAGACCACGCCCAAATAAAGAGTGGAGCTTACGTTTAAGCTAAGAGTAAAGTGCTTAGAAAGAATGTTCCAGCTGTAAAGGTAAATGTGTTTGTCACAACTTTGTAGGCAGATACAATAGAAGGAAAAACAATGTGTTCAATGTAGATATTAATTTAAAAGGCTAAGTTGATGCACCAAAGGCCTTTTTTTTTTCTTTCAAACATGTCGTTATTTCGACATGTTAAAAAAAAAAAACTCAATTGCTCAACCAAAAAGGCAATACTTGTACTCATCGCCTTAATATCTTGTTCTACTCTCTTCTTTTCTTTTTTCTTTTTTCAATGTTAAGCTTTTGGAAAGCGCAGCAAGTTTCATGCTCTTTGCATGTATGACTATAGTTCGCGAATAGTGCTCGCTATAACATTTGATTACCGAGAGCGGTGCCCAAAATTGTATTTAGGGTCTGTATTTGAAATACATGTATTTCAAATACTGAATTTTAAGTATTTAGATGCAGTCGACAGATACGTTACCACCCCTGTAATTAAATACGAGCCGCTTGCTGCGCGTCGGGGATCCACTAACAATGACGTCAATGATAAACCTTGTCTGCTATGCGAAGACCTATAGTTCGTCTGCTTCTTGCACAGGGGCAACGTCGTTTGACGCGCCGGACGGTTGCTATGGTAACTGCAGTGTATTCCATGCAACGAGGTAGAGGGGCTTGGAGAGATAAACTGGCATCCCGTTCACCAGGCCAAAGGGACCTCCACCTGGACGCCGCCATGTTGTACAATGTTGACCACTAGACACGTGACCGTACCAAATTCTGAGGCTTTTACGCAAAACTGAGCCGAGATTTGAATTGCGATCGCTGTAAAGAAACATGATCAACTATTTTTTCAATACTGTCAGCCCCAGAGATCAGTGTCCAAACTTCGATAAAAACTCAAAATACAGAACCGCGGCTGACGGCAGCTAGCCGAGGCATTTCGAAGCGAGTTTTTGTCGTAAAAGCACATTTTGGACTTAAACGTAACTTATCTCGTCGGTACTGTTATTAAAGATCAATGAGCAATTATTTGTGCGCGGTACTTCGTTAAAATCTAGCCGTAAAACTACAAGGTTATGTGGTCAAAAATTTACAACTTGGCGGCGGCCAATAGGGGGTCACTTTCAGCTGCTAATTTATCGCTCTAGGTCACTCTACCCGTTGATTCCATGGAATACGTACGTTTTAAAGCACGGCGTCTAGATGGCGTGTCGGCTCTGCTCAATGTAACGCAGTTATGAAACGAAAATCTAGATGGCGCTTCGAACGACGGGAGACCAGAGCCGTATATTGAGAGAGTTCGGCCAATGGGCGGAGCAAAGGCCTCCCCAAGCGCCGAATATTCACCGCGCGTTAGTGCATGAACTAAAACTGCGACACAGCGTCGACTAATCAGCAGACTGCGACGTCACAATATCGCAAACGACATGTAAAGCGTGAAATTTCACCCTTCGTTCCATACTTTAAAACTGTCTATGCATATCATAAAATGTTGCGTTTTTGCAACCACTGGTATTAAAGGGGCCCTGCAATGACTTTTTTACTAATTTTTAATTTGCACCGAACCTGAGCGCACTGAACATAATAGCTTAGTAAAACTTTCCTTTTCTCGAAATTCCCTTTATTTGAAAAGTTATAGGCAAATTAAAATTACAAAAACAAGCAAAAAATAACCTCCCTCATGACGTCCTTGGTTGCTTCAGAGTGGCCGTGAACTAGAAGAGAGGTAGTGAGCTCATCGAGCGCTCACGGCTGCCGCACTCCGTGTCGACGGCGCGAGAGGGCACCATTAAAGCGTGTTCTGGATAGGCTGTATGCAGCGGGCAGCCAGAGCGGCTGTCATTGCGTTTCCTGCGCGATTAAATACTCATTCGGCATGACACTTCATTGGCCACAGAAGACAGCAAACACAGGGTAAAGATCTCTTTAGAATGGGAGCTGCTTTGCGCTGCCATACCGCGAAACGGCCAAACCGCAAGACAAAGCTTCTTGCCGAAGGCCTTCGGAACGCTCGGAGCCGGTCGGATCCTCCTGCCCACAGTGTGCTCCCGCCCATACGACCGCAGCCCCGCCGCGTACATCCGGGACCTTTTCGTGTCGGCGCCTGATCCCACTATTCCTTTCTAGTATGCGCCGTCTTTTCCACCGCTTGGTGGCGGGTATGTCGACGGGTCATTTCTTGTTTCCGTACTTTATGAACTGCATTCGTTTCTTTTTTATCTAAAATACTGAACAGAAACTACTTTTATAAATAATTGAAACGGTTTGCGCCACTTATATTTTGTATTTCGACTAAAAAGAAGCATTTAGCGGCTCTTACCAATGGTAAGCCCAGGACCAAAGACGTCAGATTTTGCGCGCTTTCGGTACCGCGGGTCGTCCTCGTCGGTGGAGGAGGTTTCCGCGTCGTCCGGTTAAAATATGACGCACTGATATTTAGTTACCCTCTCCGTGCCCGCTGGCTTGCCCGAACCCCAAGAGACGCGGAAACCTCAAAAAAGGTAGACGCTTAAATATGAATGCAGGGCCCCTTTAAGCTGAGACCCAGGATTTTTTTTCTTCTTAGCTTTCAGGAAGTAGTTTCTTAATTACAGAACGTCCACTACAGTGGACAGCATGCACTGGCGGCACAAGATCCCTTTGGTCCCATGACCACAACTTTGGCTTTTACTTTTGAACTCGACGTCTTTTTCTTGTAGACGGAGCTTGGGTTTCCGTGTCGCGATCCTCATAATCACTTTCATCACTTTGGCTGGAATCTACCGAGCTATCATCACACCTGCCTTGATTATCCTCTATGGCATTATCGATGTCATCATCCTCGCTCTCTAAAATATCATCACTTCCTGATGGCAGAACGTCTTTAATTAGTACATTGATTCTTGAGTCAGATAGTGGGATATCCAATAACGCATCGATGTCTACTTCCCTCAAAGGCGATTTGGTAGCAGGTCGTTTGCCACAAAAACAAAAAATAACGAAACCTAGTTGTTGTTTTTTCTTCGGATATGTAAAATTATGGTACTTTATTCACTACAACAGAAAATTGGGCCATTCCAATATATTTACAGCGCCGCTGACCAAAAACAATTTGTGCATAGCACACAGCCCCGTAATGCTGTTGTTCATGGTATCCACTAGAGTGGACGAGCCACAAATAAATCACTTACTGAACAATGAAGACTCATTGAATACTCATATATATACAGATTACACCTCAAGACTTCCTCGAAGGCATGAAAGCCTTTAACAGAGGAGTAGTAAGTTTTTGCAACAGTTTATGACGCTTTTGCGAAGATGCACGAGCCTTATCCGAAATTTGTGGAAGCTGCCATATTAGATGCTGAATATGTCAACACCAATGGAGCGGTGGCGCCATCTATGAGTGGCAATCGAAAACCCACATGTCCACCGAAGTGGACACCATGCGTACGGGTATTTTGCGTCCTAGCACTTCATTTAAAAATTAAATAACTTTGTCCACTGTAGCGGCCACTATACAACAAAGGGATAAGCGTTCAATCTCGGCGTCTTGGTGACAATGGCGTCTATAGCAAATCAGGAGCAGTGGTCGCAACTACGCAGTGTGTTATGGTTTGGAGCGCACGTTCATTTATTCTACCGATGTACGTATATGGAGGTGACAAAAACCTCACATGCGCCAAGTTCTCAATCTCATTTTTACTCTAGCGACGCTAAAATGGCTTAAATTAGTCCAGTCCCATTTTTAGAGCTCACGACCACCACTAGGGGCTGTTTCGTGACCTGTGGTTGGCCACGAGATGCTCGCCTATTCAAACCAATGAATGGCCAAGCTTTCCCAATACACGGCTCTGCGGGAGGTGAACTGAAGTGAGTAGGGGGAGAGGGGGGGGGGGGGGGGGGGGGGGGGGGCTTCGTGGGGGTTCTAGAACTGAGGTAATCTAGTAACGTTGCACATCGGTTGCAAGGACGTCACAACGCCGAGCTCTTAATGGCTGATTGAAAGAAAAATAGTGGGTAGACTTCCAGGCGTCCATTGTTTAGGTCCACCCACTATCCTTCCTATCAAAACCAATCAGAACTCGGCGTCGTTATGACGTCATCGGAAGCCCCGTGCAAGAAGCAGACGAACTTGCCCTCCGCATTGGTTTCAACCGCTTTTGCAACCGCCGCACTTGCGCCATCTATCTTCCATGCTTAACACATCCGAACCGCGATAAAAGTAGACTGAAGTTTTTTTTTGTTTTTTTTCTTTTTCTTTTAGTATATGCGAGATTAGATTTATGCTCTATAAATATAAAACTAGCCACAGATGTGGTAACTTGTGACACTGTCGGCATTATTTCCACAGCACGCTGAAAGAATTGTGCGTAAAGTGTGCACAGATCGGAAGCGTTCCAGAACAACCCGATGGATGGCGCCAGTGCGTTTTCTCGTTGCTGGCGTTCACAAGCGATTGCTACGCAGTCGACCACGCACAAACGAAAATATCAAGAAAGAACGCGCTCTACATTGCTGGAAGCTTGTATGGTGGATTTAGGATGAACGCAATAAAATAGCTTAAAAGAGGCTTTCTCGAGAATTACCTTCAAAGGCTTCGTCGTCGGTGACGTCACAGATGATAAACTTGATTCTGTCCGCACCATAAATGGCTTGAAACTCTTGCTGGGTCTTTTCCCCCGCCAGCTGGTTCATATCAGCAACAGCAACCTACACGAGAGCACGTAAAATATTATTCTTTTTTTAGACCATTTTTACGTCGGATGTGAGGTTTACATTTTTCATCAGACACACGAATTCTTGGAAATAGTTGGGCCTCTATCATAGCCTAGAAACAGTTTTGCGAATTTTCTTGTTTTCTTTTATAGACAAACTGATTTTGTTTATTTTATAATAAACGAGTTAATTTGACGGTTATTACTTTGGTTGTTCTTTATCGAAGCCTCCGGCACTTATCCCCAGGGGGTGTTGACCATAAATATGAATGGTTAGGCCATGTTTGATTTTTTTTACTTAAATTGCTCTCTTTAGGTTCTCTAGCTCTGTGGTCTTTAGTTCAAAGTCGAATATTATAACGGTCTTCACAAAACTCGCATTTCAGCACGTTTCGTATACATCGCTTTCGCAGCCTTCTCTCACTTATCGTCGGCCAGCAACGAGAATTTCAAAAGTGTGAAATGCGCGTTGCGAAAGCCTCGGCTCCAACACGCTTTTCACAGCTGGCGGATAGTGAATGCCATCTAGTTACTAGTGAAATACCGACGTGACTACAGTTCTTGCATACCATGGCTTCGCGATTTGTCGCGATTGTCTCTAGTCTGTTTCTCGGAGCGGCCATTGGGGCGCAGATTTAGTCACACGCTGGGATCTGCTGGATCTGCTTTCCGGTGTTCATCTAAAAGAAGCTTTCGCCATTTTGCTTTATGTTGTGCCACCTGTGGGTATATCAGCGCCACCCAGATGGTTTTTTAACGTTTTCCTCCCATGCATAGGAGAAAAAAACAAAAAAAAAAAAACAGGATATTTTTAGGCCTAATATTGTTCCTAAGACGCGTATTGGCTCGTGCAATTTTAGTACGAGAAATGCACCACCTAAAGATACACCTTTGTGAAAAGTTTAATTGCACTCAGTTTATTGGATCTTCGATACGAATTTGTTTACGCCCTAACATGTTGCTAGGAAACAACCTATAACGTGCAAAATTATATATAAAAAATAAAGTCCGGAGTTCTATCTACAGAACTTTCACAAAACATACTCAGCGAGACGCATTTATGCGTCTCACTACGATGGCGCTGCCATCACCACTGCGCATGCGCAGACCGGGCATACGAGTCAACCACTTCTTAAACTGGGCGACGGGGGAAATTTGAAAACGCGATTCGAGGATGGGTTTGACGCAGTTGAAACGATCTTCAACTATAGGCGGACAGATAACCTCTCTACAATACACACTAAACCAGTCGAAAAGTCTGTAAATATATATTTGTTTTAATAAACTGTTTAAAACATCTCTTAATTCGATATGTCTGTGCCTGACACCCGCGTCACAAAACAATCTGAAACGTCTAACTCGACATGAAATCAAACGAAATTCGTGTACGGTTGGTTAGCTTACGAGAAACATTCCATTTTGTAAGATGAGTTAATTGCTGGAGCATTTGATCAAGTTGTCAATGCACGAGTTTGGATTGACAGAAGAACTACTCACGCGGCATCCTTCGCTGAGCAAGAGCTTTGTGATCGCTTTTCCGAGTCCCATGGCACCACCCGTGACCAGTGCCACCTTGCCTTCGAAGTTTTCACTCATGCTACTTTGTTCGCGCACAGCCTACCCTTTGGTCAGAAGATGAATCTTTCCTAAAGTCGCAATCGGCGGCGTACACAGCGCCAAGAAACCTCTTTGCTTTTGCGTCCCCCCCCCCCCCCCCCCCCTTTCCTTTTTTTTTTTCTCTCAGCGGCGCCATTATCTTATCGTCAAGGGCCCGATTCCGGGTTCTCTAATATCTCGTGCGACGTGAAACGTCAAGGAACGCAACACGTAAAGCGCGTTGCGTAATCACTGCAAATCAGATGGCCATATTTGTAATTTTAGAAAACACTGGCGCCGCCTGGCGGAAAACTGGATTCGAGGTTTTCCGGAATTAAATAATGCGAAGCATTCAAAAGGAGAGGAAAACAATAAGCCTCAACAAGCACAAAAGAGACTCTGGGGCAGTTCAAGCATTTTCACACCAGAAGCTTCTGAACCGGCGATTCCCCAAAATGGTTCATCGCTTCAGCTGTGACCAGAGTCACGCAAACCATCATAGTAAGAAGAATCACCGATCAACAAAAATTTGTTTTGAACCTTCGGAGCTACTTGCCATTTTATATTGCTTATATAGCAAGACGAGGTTCTGTATCGCGACGCTTTTTGAACGGGAAGTCGAACTATGCCCATAATGCTGAAAACAAGAATTGATCTACCCGTGGAATCGTGCTCTTTTATCTTCAAAATTTGAAACTTCATATAGTTTGACACTTTAATTTACATCACTGGACCTTCCGCAAATATCCCAAAAGGCCGCGCATGAAGCTCGCGGTGAATTATGGGGACTTCCTGTATGCTCCTCTTTACCGTTGAAACATCTACCACGTGACTCTGAAGTGAGCCAGGGAGAGTGGGGTATATAGATCGCACCCGTCAACGGTCACGGGCCCACAGCCAGTCCTATACAGCAAGTTCCCGGCATCCTCTTCGGCGCCGCGGACGATGCCGCACACTTTGCGAAAGGTTTAAGCTAGAGAGCCTCAAGTAAGTGTGTGTTCAACTCAAACCATGAAGAGCGTTTGCAATTGAATGGCCACTTTAGAGATTTCGGATTATACATTTTTTCGCATTTAAAAATGCTTATCCTGTCGGAACAAATATAGCGTCTATAGAAAAGTGTTATTTCATTCCTCGCGTAAAATATTCAAGCATTTCCAGGGCTGTTTATAACCGGATTTACGTTGAAAAACCACCCGTAGCACTTACAGCAAAATTTGGCCATTTGATGGCACCCATAAACACGTACTTCGATCTAGCAGTTGAACGGACTCTTACTTAAGGCAATCTAGTCTATGCGTTCGCTCCTAGCGCCACCTGGTCAAAGGGAACTCCACTGAATATTTTTCATACCCGTAAACGAAACACCGCCCGTGTTTATTTCGTCTCTTACACCGTTATCAGCGCTGGGGGTCCCTCAGCCTTGGTCTGAAGTCCTCCGGAGGCGTATCTTCATTTTTAGCACTCCTGGTGATAGTGGACGCTCCGCTCGTATCGCAACTCTCTTTGAGCAATACATTGCCCATTCGTGGTTACCCTTCTTGAACCCCTTATCTCATCTTTTTTTCTTGGAAACGAATGTGAATCAGGCTGCACTTTCCTTTCCCCTGGTTTTTCCACAGAAAATGAAGAAGCAATATCTTTCGCGGATCATATCAGTTCAAGGTTCTGTCGTCTCCTTTGGTCAGTGGGGAATGACAAAACGTTAGAAAATGTTCTATATATAAAATGTTTGTGCTGCTGGCTCCTTTCTTTTGTGTTTGTATGCATTTTTTTTTTTATTTGTGGTCGAAACTTTTCTCTAGAATGGGAAATACGCAATAAAATCTGGCGACATGCAGAGGCTTTAAAGACACTAAATAGGCGTGCCCAGGGCTCGGTACAATCTCCAAAACTATTCAGCATGTGGATGCATGTCACCCCTGGGTGGTTTGGGGGAAGGATGCTTGTTTCGACCCCGTTTGTATGCAAGTCATGGCGATGCTGTCATCTCGGTTTCCTTTTAATAAACTATATATCAGATGGTTGTATTAGCGCATTAACTTGGCTTGATATTTTTTTTTCTTCCGGTGTGTCGATTCAACAGGTGGGACAAACAATAAAAACCGCGTAAGGCGCAGTCGTGCAAGTGGATGATTTAGATTACTTTTAAAAAGGATCGCAGTTAAAAAGTAAGACACTCTCGAAATATATAAATTTATAAACAAAAAATGCTGACGCGATTTGAACCTCGAACTTTCGCGCCGCGACAACGAGTCCCGGCTCTCTCCGGTTCCCTGGCGCAGACATATAAATATGCTGCCACCGCTTTTATCTCGCGGGATTTCTCTTATGTTGGCTCATATTTACCTTCTCCGGCCGTAACTTCACCTTCGGCTTCTAAAGTGTAAAGGGGCGGTTAATTGGACCCCAGTTGAAGGCACCTGCGGTCAGTTTCACCGAGCGAAATTAAACTTTTGTGCTCGAAGCGACACGGACTTCTCTGTCATTAGGCAGGGACGCTATACTCCGCGACAACTTTTCTTGGCAATGCAGTGGAAGGTAGAGGCCCGCGTCCCCTCTCCCATTTTGAGTGTGCGCGGGTTCTCCTCCTCTCCCCGGAAATGGGGGAGGAGGAGCCCCTGCGCACACTCAAAATGGGAGAGGGGACGCGGGCCTGTACCTTCCACTGCATTGCCAAGAAAAGTTGTCGCGGAGTATAGATGCTTCCAAGTTCCATGTTTCCATAGAGCTAGTCACGTTACATAAAAATCCCTCTTGGCCGCAACCGCGGCCGCGGCCGCAAGATAAGCAAACCGCCCCTGGCCTTGGAATAACATAAGAGCGAAGGACTCTGATTCACCATATACGCGGATGATGTGACCATGTGCACCAAAGGAGGCACGATATACAGCGGCAGATCGAAGCGCTGCAGAAAGGACTGGAAGTCATCGAAAAATTCCTGCTAAACGCAAAAATGAAACCCTCAACCGAAAAAAAAAACGAAACTTATTTGGAAAAGCCCATGAGCACAACCCCGACCTCTACTTCGACGGGCAGATATCGAGAGAACTGAAGAACACTCCACAGTGGGGCACGACCGTCAACACCACGCACAACCCCATCGACTGGATCTGCAAAATGACGGAAGCTTGGAAACAAGGAACGAACATCGTACGAGGAATAGCCGGCAAGAAAGGTGAAGCAGGCGAAACCCTCGCCCGCACCACCATCCAGGCCGCGCTAATCCCCAAGATAATGCAGCCAGGAAGTTTTGGAACCACTTCAGTTCACTAAGTCATAAAACAAAGTCAGAGCAGAAGTATATTGTCATGCCTGGGGGTAATCACTCTGAAGGGGATAAGGCGATAGAATATATAGAAGGCGCCTCACCAGTGGAGGATAGTTCAAGTACTGATGTTGAGGCTATCAGAAACAAATAAAAAAAATGGGAAAAGGCAGAACGTAGGGTTATGGTGCCTGGAACGCGTCTCCGACTGGTGTGTTTACCGCGGCCAAAAAAAGTGGTCCTTCGATTTCCGCCTGATGACGTCATAAAAGTGTCATGCTGTCACCGGTCGCGACCCTGGCGGCGTTTGAACAGTTGTGGTCTAGGTGGCAGACGCCTGTTCTGCTGCAGGTCGCTGTCCACTGTGACAGTTCACGGAAGTTAGAGCAGCCGGAAGTTGGGACGCCTAAAGGGGAGAACATGACGACAGCGACACTCGCGTTCGCTCGTGCTTTTCGCCCGCATTTCTACGGCCAACCGCCAGGATCGCGACAGGCAACAGCATGACACTCGCGTCATTTGTTGCCACATTGGGACCACTTTTGATGTATGGGCGGGATAGGGCGCTAAACACACCAGTCGAAGACGCGATCGAGGCACCATAGTAGAGTACCAGCGGGTACTTCAACAGGCGCAGATTGTATACCAGTAAAGTTGATAAAACAGTTATAGAACCGAACCTAAAAAAGCATTAGGAAAGCAGTAAGTAGATTTATCATGAAGGGAACTGCCCCGGAACAATGGAGGCTAAGAAGAATGAGTTTAATGTACAAGGGAAAGGGGGACAAAGCTGACATTATTAACCACGGACCCATAACGGTAACATCAGTATTGTACAGGTTGGCAATGCAGGCTATCAAAAAAAGATTGCAGGCATGGGTAGAAAATGAGAATGTGCAGGAGATCTACAAAATGGGTTCCAAAAGAAAGGATGTTGGAGTACAATTTATTCTTATTAACACAGTGTATCGAGGTGAGCAGAAAAGGAAGGAAGACCACCCGGGTTAGCATTCTTAGATATTAAGGTGGCTTATGACAATGTCATTCAAGGCAATCTGTGGAACATAATGATGAGCTTAGATGTGGACGACGGAATATTGAAACTTTTAAGGTGAATTAACAGAGACATGGTCCTAATAACATGGGAAAGAAAGAGAACAAAGTTAATAAAGGTAAAACCAGGTCTTAGAGAGAGATGCCCCTTGTCGGCATTCTTGCTCATGTTGTAGCTCCAATGATTAAAGGAAAAATTGCAAAGGAGCAATCTTGAAAAGATCAAACGGTCATTACCAGGTCTGATGTATGCTGATGACATAGTGCTAAAGGTCTATAGGAGCACATGGTAAAACACCGAACCAACGTTCACGGGCCGATATGTGATGGTGCTTATCCGAGAGCAGGGAAGCTAGTTGTAAGGGAGAATTTGAGGATAGGCTAAGAGAAATAGAGGCAGAGCGATGGGCTTAGCTACATATCAGACTTGTGCCTATCTCAAACACTCTACTCAAGATACTGTATTTCAAATATTTTTGAAGTATCTTGGTATCTTGCGGATACTTCTGATCGAGAGTATTTAATACTCTATTTTAAATACATTTCCGAGTATCTTGTACTCATTATCTCAAATACATTTTTGACATTCCGCCATTTTTTTAGTTTTTTCGGTGTGAACTGGCGTGGGTGTGGCACGAGCAAACGTGACCATTCTTTCGAGCAACCAAATCCTGTTGCTAGCTCCGATTAGCTAAGGTGACTTTGGTCGGGGAACTTCTTTGGTTGAGCTCGTAAGAAAAGCATCGTTTTTTTGGCCCATTTGGACTCATATTTCAGCCCAAAGTTCGGGCTTGCGGCCTGAATATCCATCGAGACGGAAGACCCAACGAGTCGAAAGCCCAACGAGTCGACAACCAACGCAGCTACTGGCAGAAGCTCCCCGATGCAACGGACCCGTTTGCCGCTAGGGGCGCCCTGTTCAGGGCTTGAATTAGAACCGCACGGTTCCTATACGGCTGTGTAAGAGCGCCAGTCGCTTTCCCCTGCGCAACCACAAAATTGCCGAAAAGAGAGAAAAAAATATTTGTTTTTAAACATCTAAAATATATATATATATATATATATATATATACATATATATATCAGTACACGAAAGAAAGTTTAGTGTTGAGACCAAGGGGGAAATCTGTTTTCAGGTTGAAGATAAGACGGATTTTCTCTCTCTTTCGCACGTGGGAGGAGGGGAAACCTGATCTGATAACACAGACGCGCATGTGCAGTCATTATGAAAAAGGAACAGCGCGGAAATAAACGAGAGGCGAGTAGAAGAGGTAACGACGAAACAGGGCACCGTTTCATAATGTCTAACCAGCTCGCCCAACTTTATGCGTTGTTGCGCATGTTTAGCTCAGTATGGCCGGAGGTAGAGAAATGGTCAGCTACATGTGTGGAATTGTTCCGAAAGAAGGTTTTGTGAGTCTTCACGGCGGTGTTCACGGAATCGTTCGTGCAGCCGTCGGTCCGTCTCTCCGATGTACAGAGCGTCAGGGCAGCTCGTGCAGGAAATAGCGTAGATGCAGTGATTTCCCTAACCCCCCCCCCCCCCCCCCCTTTTACGAGGGTGTACTCCTCCCCCCCCCCCCCCCCCCCCCTTGTTTTTCTGAAGGCACCCCCTTAATTTGCAACGACTCCTATAGACGATTGCAAGCTGGGCGACTGGCCGCCGCCATGTCTCTGCTCGAGCAGGCACGCCCGTGCGATTACGAGCTTGCGAAAGCTACGTTCACCCGCGCGTTGCACGCGCTTGCACGCATGGGGCACCACTTGTGGCGCCATGCTTGCAATTGTCTATATTCTCAATGCCCCCCATCCCCTAAAAATTTAGACACCCCCCTTAATTTCAATTCATGTGAAAACCCCGCGTAGATGACATTGGCCGACTTGCAGGTCTGGTTGTCGGGAATTTAGAGTTTAAGCTGTTGTGGGGAGCCAAGGTGCTTGCAAGTCCTCGTCTTGGCTTTAGCGCACTTTTCATCACGAATGTTCCTTGGAGGAGCGCAAAGACTCTTTGCGAGCGCACGCAATGTCCGAAAAATAGCGTACGCTAAAATATCGCACGCAAAGCGCAAAAGGTGGTTGGCGTTCGGCGCATGCACAGTGGTAACGACGCTATTCTTTACGTACTCAACGCTTTAGCGTGCGCTATTCTAAAACTGCCAACAACGCCAACGTAAACCGAAACAAAAACCCAGAGCACCCTCAAACGTGACGAGATGATGCGGTGAACGCAAAATCAGCTTACAACACTGGGCAACATGGCGGCGCCCACAAGCCTAATTAATAAAGTTCTCTCACTCGTCCCACTGCTCGCTCCCTGCGTCGCTACCAAGTAATTCACGTAAATTGTAAACCTCGACCCTCGAATCAACTAATCCAGCGTTAACCCCGGCACACGATGATAACCGGCCGACGCCACAGTGCAGCGTAACATCCAGTAAGAAATGTCGTCCTCCATGGCTGCCCCCGTAACGACTGGCAACGATTGTCAGCTGACTGTTGATCTTGTTGATGGGTGATCCTGTCGGGAGCGGCGTGAAAGCTTTCTTTCATGTCCTTATTGTGGACTCGCGCGCGGTGGCGTTGTTTCGTCGCGATAGCAACTGACGCTTGATGCGCTTAATCGTAGGTCTTTTATTTTAGTTTGGTGTTTGTTTCCTCTTCCTTTGTACGCGTAGCGCTTGCGTTTACACCTGCCGCTGTAACACCCATGCGTCATTGGCGTCACTTACCAGCGATAAGGAAATCGGGCCAGCAGTACTCTTACACGCCGGTTTTTCTTCTTACGCAGGAGACATGAGGACGGAGTCAGCGTCGTGATCGCAGCCTAGGTGAGTGATGAAGACAGTCCCAAAGCAAAGGGTTTTAAAGTTTCGGCGTACGCTACTTTGATGTTCGCCGACGTGCTTCGTTCACGTCCCTTTGACTGGCGCGCTTTCGCTGACGTTGATAGATGAGTTATGCTGATTTACGCGTCTCTACTCGCGTTTGATGTTGACATGGCGTCATTTATAAATAGTTACGCCCAGCTTCCAGATCGGCGTGCATGATACATTAACCTGATCGGCGTTTTAATTGAGGAGTAATTACCTGTCGAATCTAGTGGAACGTTATGGATTCGTGCGCTATGGATCGGTGTATCTAGTGAAACATTGTAGATGAGTGCACGCAATGGAACGTGTTTGAAGCTTGGACGCAGTGATAATGATAATAATAAAAAAAAATAATAATAATAATTTTTGTTTGCACGAGAAAGTTTGCCCAAAGGTTAGTACACTTATGCATGTGCGCCTGCTAGCCCGCTGCTGCGATTCATTACACTAGTAAATAAAACATGGCCAGTGTACAGGGAATAGTCACAGAGTGTGATTGCCGCTGTTGAATGGCAGGTTTGATGTCGCGCATTTCAAGCACATGCTAATGTGTCATAAGCATGGGCTTTTAATCCTATAATGCTATATGGCACCTGTTAATACACTATGTGGAGGATTTTATTTGAAATCGAATACACATATTGGACTGAGTATTTGATTTGCCTTGTGTTCGGTGCAAATTAAAAACCAGTAAGAAAGTCCTGCAAGGACTTTTCTACTGGTTTTTAATTTGCACCGAACCTGAGTGCACTGAACGTAGTAACTTGATGAAACTTTTCTTTTCTCGAATTTCGCTTTATTTTAAAAGTTAAAGGCAAATCAAAATTACAAAAACAAGCAGAAAATAACCTCCTTCATGACGTCCTTGGTCGCTTGAGTGGCCGTGAAATAGAAGAGGGGTAGTGCGCTCAGCGAGCACTCACGGCTGTTGCACTCCGTGTCGACGACTCGAGAGGGCGCCACTAAAGCATGTTCTGGATAGGCTGTATGAAGCGGGCAGCCAGAGCGGCTCGCATTGCATTTGCTGCGCGATTGAACACTATTTTAACATGACACTTCATTGGCCACAAACGACAGCAAACACGGGGTAAAGATCAGTTCAGAACGGGAGCCACTTCGCGCTGCCATACCGCCAAAAGGCTAAACCGCGAGCCGAAGCTGCTCGCTGAAGGCCTTGGGAACGCTCGGATCCTCCAGTCAATACGACCGCAGCGCCGTCACGTATATATGGGACCTTTCTACGCTCGCCGCTTGTTGGCGCCTGATCCCACTACACCTTCCTAGTATGCGCCACCCTTTCCACCGCTTGGTGGCGGGTATGTCGACGGGTCATTTCTTGTTTCCGTACTTTATGAACTGCATTCGTTTCTTTTCTGATCTAAAATACTGAACAAAAACTACTTTTATAAATAATTGAAACGGTTCGCACCACTTGTATTTTGTATTTCGACTAAAAAGAAGCCTTCAACGGCTCTGACCAGTAGTAAGCGCAGGACCAAAGACGTCACATATCGCGCGCTTTCGGTACCACGGTTCGCCCTCGTCGGTGGAGGGGGTTTCCACGTCGTCCGGTTAAAATATGACGCACTGGTATTTAGTTACTCTCTCCGTGCCCGCTGGCTTGCCCGAACCCCAAGAGACGTGGAAACCGCAAAAAGGTAGGCGCTTAAATGGGATTGCAAGGCCCCTTTAAACAGAGTATGTCGCACATTTTTTTTGTGCTTCTCAGTGAATGAGCTTCCAAGCATTCTTGGTTTACTGCCCACTTTACCATTTCTGACATCACACTTCAGTGTTGCCAGTAGGGGCTCTCAGTGTGAGAAACACGATGAGAACGAAATTTAAAAATTCAATAACTTTGCAACATTTCTTTTATTTTTTCGCCCAGTACTTGGGGGATTGATACATCCATGTCTATCGATGTGTTGAGTAAATTTTGGGGCGAATAAACGACGATAAAAAAATCTTTGGAGTACCCTTTCAAGAACAGAATTCCTGACGGCGGACTAAACATGACTCCAAGGAGACTTCTGTTGTCACATGGCAGAAAATTCCACACTAAGACAAACTAGAAGTCGCATTCAGTTGAAAAGTTTTTAGGACAATTAGATACTGCCTATTAGACAAAGCCAAACAGCTCAGACTTCCCAGGTTATTGCCCCTGCTTCGAGTGTAACGAGTTCTGGTCAAATGTACGTCAAGATTTTGTGAAGCGTTATGGTAATTCCCATTTAATTCCCTAATCATCAAAATACTGACCGCACAAATAGACACAAGTGCAGGCTCACTTTGGTGCGAGGAAAATTGTAACATTTCTACCGTGTGGGAAAGGTTGCCGTCTAGATATTGGACTTCACCACTGCATTGTTTTATTCATATTACAAACATGGAACATGCTGTGAACTTAATTGGGGATTGCAAAAAGAAAATCCTAGTCAGCCTATACATGATAGGGTCTATTTTGAAAACCTACCTGATGTTTCTGAAAGCCAGAACGTATATTACGAAAATTTGAATCCCTCTGTCTAAAATCAATGAAGATCAACTCAAAGCAAACAGTATGTGCCTACATGTGCTGTACCAATTTCTGTCTTCGTTTCAGTACTGACTCATGTATAAAAATACAAAAAAAAAAAAAAAAAAAAAAATCTTTTTTTACAAAACTGATTTCAGCAGATCCTGGTTGAGGTTTTTCATAAGGGGAAAACGTTCATTCTGATATACAGTGTAGACTGCATATAATGTATGTCGCGGGAGTCGCGAAAATCCGCACTATAAGCGGTACCGCGCTATAACCAAAACATCAAATTTTCAGGCCAAAATGCATGCCAATTTGTAACTTACCTTTGTAAAAGAATTTATTTTATGTCAGATGAAAAATGAAGCTTAGTTCGAGGAAAGTCTTTATTTCACTAGACTAGTACACTTCTCTCTCAAGTTTGTCAAGCATTTTGAAAGAAATGAGTGACTTTTCCCTGGCGCAGCCTTTTAACGGCGTCGCGGGTTGCGGACGGACGTTGCGAGCGCTCAGGATTGCTAACCCTAATCACTTTTCTCCGGCGATGAAAACGCGTGAAAATTCGCATTCTTTATACGGTACGCGCCAGTAATACCTTCAACTTGAGCACATGCATGAAATGCTCCAAATAAGAAATCCGAGCGATGTTCGAAAACACAAATGCTTAGAAAGCACCGCTGTAGTCTAAGTAAACAAACACTACGACACGGGCGTTTCTGCCGTCTTGAGAGTGCCGCCACAACATCGCCGCACGAGTAGGTGGATCTTCCCTTCTAGTACGTGCTGGGTTATCATAGCGACAGAATTAAAATTCACAGTCAAGGATAGCGCTTTTACGCGGAACGATGAGCTTCTACCACGCCATATACATCGACGATCAAAACCGACGCCATGTTTGCGGATAGAAGCAGCCGGCCGGCCGGCCCGCGACCGGCATGCAAAGCGCGCGAACACTTCTCCTCGACCTGCGATTGGTCTGTCGTTGCGGTTGTTTCCTACCAACGCAGCGGAGGGACGCACGCACGTACACAAACGACATGCGCGTGCGTACCTCCGTCGCTATGGCAACTGAAGCCTCTCTCTTCACTTCTCTCCGTTTCTTCGAGCAACCTCCTTGCCCCGTGAGTGTCGCTTGCGGCTCGCGCCGTTATCTAGTGTCGCACAGGGAAGCGTGCTCTCTGCGTCGGTCAGTCGGCGCGGTCGCCGGGCTGTTCCGAAAACCGCACTATAACCGGTATTTCCCTTCACGCGCCTGCATTTTAAGCGGTATGTAATTGCATGGAGTTCTATGGGAGGCAAACCAGTGGTTTAAAAAAGCCGCGTTATACCCGGTCCTGCACTATAAGCGGTTACGTTGTAAGTGGCCTATAGTGTATCTTCTTTTTATGTCTGCCATTGTATTGAGACTCGACGAAATCTGTGAACCCTATGCACCGTTAACACTTGACAGAAGTAAGCTCAAGTGTTAAAACCACGAGGCAGCTCGGGGGCTGGAATGCTAGTGAAAAAACCACATCAATCATTTGTAGATATTATCTGGTTTTAACGAACATTGGGGTTAAGACGGTGCAGGTGCATTCTTTGGGAGGAAAACAACATGACAAACCGAGGAACACGGACAAGATAAGGGTAAAAATTACTGTATATACTACACTTAAGATAAACATTATTACGCACCCTGACTAAAGTTCCTTAACTTTAACAACAATAATAATAATAATATTATAAAAAGTATGTTTTGCGAGTAACGTCTGAAGAGCGGAGGGGTAGGGGCAGACATTTTTTTCTAAGGGGGGCACATTGCCCCTCCCCACTACCATTTTCATGAAGATGACAACCCGAGGACGCTAGACGGGTGGGCCCGACTCGAGGGCTCTTCAGGGCACAGAAAAGCCATCCTTAATTTACTAAGGGATTATATAAAACGATTGGGTACCCATCACCTCCCCTGTTTTTCGATTAATTTATCCCAAGGACTAGGGGGAATGGAACCACCTGCCCGCCTCCATCGCAACGACTACCAATGATTTCACTTTCAAATCCGCTATTGAGTGTTATGTACTTTCTCAATAAACTGCGTTGTCTGCAATTTTCATTCACTATCAAATTTCTGAATTAACTACCTGTTGTTTGTTTTTATGTTTTCCACCACTCCCTTCTGTAACGCCCCCTGGGCCTTGAAGGTACTGAAATAAATAAATAAATAAATAAAAATAAATAAACAGATCTGACCCCCTGCCTTTGGCATTTTTTAAGGCTAAAACACCTTGCAGTAAAGCCAACCTGAAAAACTATCCTTTTGTTCATCCAGGTGCATGTATGTGTCTTTAAGGACTTTTACGGAAAGTACAACGAGAAAAGAAGGAACTTTGATTATCTGCACAGAAAGTTAACATCATTGGGAGCGATATAAAAAAAGAAAGAAAAAAATGGTGTCTTTAATGATGCAGGTTCATATTATGGCTAAATTTACTTTTTCACGAAATTTGAAGAAGTTTATAAATCAGTTTGGGAAAATAAAGTAGACTAATGTGGCTTGAGTCGATAGCAGATGTATAGGCCTGCAGGTGCATAGTCTGTAATAAGCGAAATGTGTAATGAATCTTAAGATAGAAGGCTCTAAATAATGTCACCAAAGTGTCAAAGATGCAATGTTTGACATTTTTTTATTTCTTGTATCAAATGTTCCAAAGTGGTTTAGTTTAAGAAGGAAAAATGGGCCATGTGTCATATATTTACTAGAAAAATTACTGCTAGTGTTTTTGTTTTTACCTATTTATAGCAGCCGGTAGAACTGGGTACAAAAATCAAGCGGCCTAAATGTAGCATTTCACCTTGCTCCCCTTCACGATTTTTGTGGATAAAAATATTTTTTCTACAAAATTTTAAAAAGTTGTTCTTGCTCATTGCAATTCTTTCAAATTGGCTTTTACAAAAAAAAAAGTTAATTTTGGTCATTTGACCCATTTCATTTATTTTGATTGGTTTAAACCTGTTATGCCATTTGGCGGTGCAGGTTGAGAGTCATAGGTTTATTTCTATTTTTTTGGCTCTCAATTAAACATTCTGTAAACATTCTGTTTATTGCAGAAATGGGACTGTAATATATAATTTTTTTAGGCAAATAAAAATATGCACCCCAACACATCTGTTCTATTTCGAATGAAACCACCTAGATAACATGTTCAACGGTGTAATCTTAAAGTATAAGTCCAAAACATTCCAATTTTTACGAATGTCAAAGCTTTTAGAGTTACCGAAGGGTCAAGCTCAGCAGTTTCAAATTGCATGAAGTCCTAAGGTTGGAAGAGCCGCCTGATGATTTTAACTTTCTTTCGAGTACAATTTCAGCCTTTATGAGCCTTGCAATGAATAAGGTTTGTCAGTTTACAATCTTCTTGGAAGCAGAACCATGCATGCACGGTTCTGCATCACAATAGAAATGAATCTGTTCTGTGTAAGTTCGTGGTAGAGTAATTTATCGACAGATACCTTAATATGCCCCTGTTAAGTGTTGAATGTTTCTAAGCTTACTCTCAGAGTTTGAAATGTGAAGCAAGTACAACTTGTCTCTCTCTTTTTTTTTTTTTATTGGGTCATCAGATTCTACGATCCACTCAGTTGGTATCAGTTGAAAAACCAAGGGGGATCGGTGGCCGAGTGAGTTATTGTACAGCAACTCGAAGCAAATGGAGCGAAAAGCTCTACTTGCTGGCACTGCAGGAGTCGGGGATCCTGGGTGCAATACCCACCCTTGCCCATTTTGGTCTGGATAGGCACCGTGCCGGCGTGCGGTCACGCATCAATACTGCATGACGCCCGTTAAAGACTCCAGGCCAGCAGTCGTACTGCACTGGCTGAAGTTCTCATTTAGAGCATGTAACAATGTTGCTGCTCCCTGGCAGACCAACTACATGTCATCTAAATATATAACGACTAATTTATTTGTTTGTATGAGAAACCGTAACTCCAGCGTAGAGCGCAGCGCACGTCTGCTCGCCCGTACCGGTTTCGTCTGATGAGTCCAAACTTGCTCTCCCTCTTGTAATGAGTTGCCCGAGGTTTTTTTTTGAGGTGAACGCCAAACCTTTTTGTTTCCAGGTAGGATCTTTACGTGGCGTGGACGGCAGGGCGGCCGCATCGGGTGTGCCAAAATGGCGTTCTTCAGGCAGCTTCGCGTCATCCTCTGGAAGAACATTGTGGTGTACTCCTTCAAGAGGCACTACTTCCTCACGTTTTTCACCATGTTGATCCCCCTGGTGCTCTCGGCTGTCCTCGTCTACCTGCGGAGCCTAGGACTGTCGGATTCGACCCAACCGATCGTCCGGATGAATGCAACAGTGTACCCAGAGTTTGCACCTAGCATCTCCACCTTCAGTTTTCCCAAGTTAGTCGTCTATGCACCGGACACGACGTATGTGAAAGACATCATGAATGTTATTTTTCCTGGTGAGTGGAAGAAAAGTTCAGTTTCTTTTATTAGGAATCTTTTTTTCGATCGTTCCGGTAACTTCGATGGCGACACCTGATGCTCAGTCGATGCCTATGTGCGTGAACCATACCGTTTCCGGAGTTGTTGAAATAACCTACTAAAACTCTCTTGTATATGTCCTTTCTGTATTGTAATATCTCGAGAGATGCCCCACCCCCGAAAAATAGCCCACCGCTATCTTTGCCATGATTTGCTATTTTTTCTGAAACAGCAAAATATAGCCCACTTCTAGTAATTGCAGGGCCCCGGCCAATGGTGACGTCAGCAAAAACGGTGTTGCTTAACCACCTCGGGAGATAAGCGAACATTGTTGACTGGGAAGGACAGTTATCTGTGGTTTTATTGCCCTTTCCTGCAATCACACGTTTCGAGGATCACAAAATCAAAAACTAGCATTTTCTCAACTGAACTACTGGGTTATTAAGAAAATAAAAGGGATCTTTTTGGCCCGCATAAATAAACTATGCATTGCAGAAAGCTGAAGCTCCGTCAGAATGTGATGCTAGCGGTGGGGATCAGTATGCAAGAGTTTGAGAGCATGACGCTACCTGGATCAAAAGGTAAAAGGGGAAAGAGCCAATATCCCTATGAGCCTATGCCCACCTAAGCCTAACTTCGTCAAAACAAGATATTACATTGTGGGTGCCTGTGGCATGTGTATCAGCAAAACAAAGTTGTCACCAAGAAAAAGAAACGAAGAAAACAATGATATTGTTTTTCTTGTTGACAAGTTTGTTTGCCTCTCTTCAGCCTTCAGAGAAGCATATCACTGCTTGAATGCTAGCATATGAGCAGGAATAAAGATTTTCAAATTTATCATTTTAAATTGCAATTGCCCATTTGAGGTTCTGGCTGTTCAGCTGCCTCTAGTTTTGCATTCATTTGAGGTGTCTGATGTTTTCGATAGAAGAGCGTTATTGAGCGAAACTGGAGCAGGCTCTTACGGCCGGAGACCATCGCGAATTGGGCTACCTTTTACTAGCATATATTGTGCAAATCAAAAAGCTTAAAGTTTTTGTGTTAAAGCGGAAAAACTGAAGTGGTGTCTTAAATCACGTGACATCAGTTTCCCTGCTGCATTTGGCTCGGGAACTGAATTGCTGTAAAGGTCACATGACATGAGGTCACATGACGTCAATTTCCCTTCCGAAACGGGCATGGAAATGCATGGATAGACAGACAAATTTTTGGGATTAGGGTGCTCCTTGAAAAAGCATTCTGTGGTTTAATGAACTTACATTCATCCGGCAGCTTGTCTCAAGCTTCACACGTCCTCTGGGATTTTAGAGCTTCGCTTACATTTTATCGGATCTCCCTCTGGAAGAACCCAAGGCTGAAAACTAGAGCGCACTCTCACATCCATGTTCGCACTGCCCGGAAAAGAGGCGATTGAAGTAGGATGAGTGGTGGTCGTTCCGAAGTGCATACTGCATTCCAACAATAGATGTGCCTGTTTCTTGCCACTTGGTGGAATGTATACATGTTTTTATGTGTTTAGGGACTGCTGTTCCCTAGCCATTCTGAAAGATCTAAAACGTGTTAGCGAGTGCTAAACGGTGAGCCCAAGACTGAGGTGAGAGGTAACTATTAAATGTCGTCCTGCTCGAGAAGTGAAATAACTTTGACGATTGGCCTAGTTGGCAGATCATTCTTAAAGAACAAATAGCACAGCATGGACAAGCTAAAAGAAGACTGACAGACAACGGTACTAACATACAATTGAACTTTATTAGTGTTGACATAGAGTAACTTGATGTCAGCACCTCATTTTTGGACAGCAACTAAGGAACTATAATAGGCCTGCATAAAGCTTATTTGTGTCCGTGTTGTTCAGATGCAAAGATGAACAAACATGCATAGTGATTGTTTTTTTCCTTGCAAAAAAACATTGTCTTCCTTGCCTACCTCCATCTCCGCCTATCTCTTTTCGTGCAGCTCATGGTGTTTTCTGTTTGTGCTAAGTTGTTCTAACATAGGCAAGAGCAAGCAAACAAAGCTTGTTTGTGTTTAAATAAAAATAAGAGTGAAACTCCGAGGGGCTCTGCATTTTTTGCAGGGTCCTTAGCAGACTCAAATTGAACAGTAAAGATTTTCAGCTCCATCAATACATACTCGCTGCTTGCAGCATGTTAATCGATTCTCACCGAGCTTTCTGTATATCCATACAACATAAATTATGTCTGCCATTTTGTGGAAAGAGTTCTATGTATTGAGCGAGAGTGATGCTGTATTTTCTTGCTGGCTATGGAATTTCGGAATAGCTTGTTTGCTCAGCTGGGGAACTTTGTTTAAAGGGTGCTGTTTTCTTCAGGCAGTCTTGAGGAGAGGAAGTTTGTTTTGCCCCAACATCTATATGACGTTGATTCATCTGCCGTTAGTGTAACCAGACAGCAAGTTTTCTATGTAGAAGTTTGCAGTTTTATTTTGATCTCTCGATCAAACCGGCATATGCAGAATTGCGTTTTATGAGGAAGGAAGTGGATGCTAACTGGCAGTGTCAGCCTCCTAAGCACAAGCTGCCTTTTCCTCCTTTTGAACAGTTTCTTTTTTCTTTCTTGAAGCTGTCGCATCTGGCAAAGTCTTCTCAAAGCAACTCGAAGTCTTCTTTCCTGCTTTTTTAATTTTTTTTCTGTCATAGTTGCATTGTGTTGTGTGGTCCGTAGAGCTTGCAGCTCAGGTGTTTGGTAGTCGGCAGACTCCTTTTGACCTTGCACGCTTTGCTCACTTTGTCCAAGGCTAAATCAAAGTTAGCCTCAGCAAGAATGCAGTTGTATGTTAAGAAGTTGTAGGTAATTAATGCAAGCGCTCCAGTCACTGTTCGTTTTTCGAAAGACCCAGGGAACCTTTGTACATTTTCTCTTGCAACGTGTTCTAATCTCCCTACTTTTTCTTGGTTTTCCTAAAGCCGCAGCACTTGGCTGATGATTTTTACAAACAAGGGTCCTCAATCTGGGTTTCCTAGAGTTTTTTCATGTGTTCCCTGAGCCTCAAAAATGTTTCTTGGCCGTCCCTGTCCCCTAAGTAGCATATTCTTTCAGTTTAACTACTCTTTAGGCCGTTCTAAGCCATCTGTTGATGCATGGCTATGAGCCAGCACTTTCCAGTGTGTACACTATAGTTAGGGTTCCGTGTTTTTGGATAAATCCGTAAAACTGAAAAACTCCCACCATTACAATTTTGGTCAATTCGGATTTCTCTGGTAAATTCCAAATTTTTATGTGCCAATACCACTCCCCCCACGGAAAAAGAAGAGAAATAAGTAAAAGACACTCTTTTTACAATTCAATCAGTTCAGGATAAATAGTCCTGGGAAAATGCCCCCCTAATTATCGTCAAGGTTGATTCAGGGCAACAGGTCATTGTACATTCGGGTCACGACAAAAGCCGCTCTTTTGGTTTCCAGTTTGAGCTGTGTAATTTCTGGTTTAGAGAAAGGAGAGGGTATGTTTTTGTAACAGTGAAAGCTGTGGACCATAAAGATTGTATAAAATAGGGAATAGAGGCAGTTGAAACTTCTCTATTACATCCTGAACCACTCCACCTTGCATGGCCGTGGTCTGGATTGATGAAATAGGATGGGATGACTACGAGCTGCCTAGCAACTACCTCCCAGAGTTTATTGATTTTAAGGTATCGACGTTTATTGAAGCAACACTTGTGTGCGATTTTTGTCGTGGGACAAGTTAGTATTGCTTATGGCAGTGGCACCAACGCCAAATTGAACTCGAGAAATTTTTAATTGATACAAGCACATTTTATTTTTTTATTTGGCATACGTTTACATCCGGTTATTATTTATTTATTTATTTTCAATAGGAGACACTGCCAAATTAAACTCCAAATTTAGGAAAATTGGGAACAAACAAATATAAACTTTGAATCTTCAGGAAAAAAATAAACTCCGAAAACACAGAGCCCTAACTATCGTTTACAATGTCTGTAGGCTCCTGCGCTGCTTTACTGCATCGATGCTGACTGCACAATGTATTCTCACATTCGTGAGAATACATTAATCATCCGTAAAAATAGATTAATTACCGTGAGAATGGGTGAATGATCCCTTCTCCATCCGTGAGAATGGATGGTCTCTGACGATGCATTCGTATTGACCGCAGGCTCACAGGGATTCCCGACGGAAGTTGCAATGGACACGTACATCGCAAACGCCACCCTAACATCCGCTTCCGGAACGCAACTGGCAGTCATCTTTAACAAAGCTCCGGAAAATGGTTCGGTGCCGAGGGACCTGTCTTACACGGTGCGCTTCAACAGCACCGACTTTAACTTCTACACGGGCGACCGGTATCCCCTATTGAAAACTCCGGGGCCCCGGGAAGACCTCTCCGATTTGTACAGACGTAAGTATATTTTTTGTTCCATTTACGTCCCACTGCGCGCGCAAGATTCCAATTTTTCCTGATGTCGACCTGCGGGGGAAGAAGAAAAAGTTACACTAGGTTGATCGTTTTGACAAAGACTGGAGAGCACAAAATCTGTGGTGGACGAGCCGTGCAGGTGCTATGTGTGTGCATGATGTCATCTGGCATCGTGTGACAATGTGACATCATGATGCCACATTGCATCATGACATCACAAAAGACTGCGATGTCGCCATCACAACTTTTGGTGATGGTTCCTCGTGACAATTTTATAGTAGAATTCGGCCGGCAAAGCATGCTCAGTGTTAAAACTCGCTGCAGGGCGTTCTCCAACGTTTCTTTGCATATTCAGAAATTTTTGCTTTATTTCATTCAATCACACACCGCAGACGCTGAGCAGATCATATTTCTAAACCTGCGGCGCTCTCCGCCAATGCCGAAAGGCACCCTGGGAATCAGCTGTAAAGAGCCAGGTGTAGCAGATGACAGAGACTGGAGGCAAGCAACTGCGTTACATTCTTTCTCCGGCTCTCTTGACTGTCGCATGATAGATAGGTGTTGTGGGAGCGAGAAGGAACATAGAAGACGTTCCCACAATTTTTTGCTTTTTTTTTTTTTTTCAAGTAGTATGGGTCAGTTAGTAGTAAAGGACACTTGTTCAATTACAGTTGAGTCGGTATATAGAGTAGAGCAACAGCCCTTACTTGCAAAGTAAGGGAGGTCTCTAGCCTACATCACATAAAGGTGTTTACAGTTGAACATCTTTATAGCAGACTGGTCATAATAATAATAATAATAATAATAGTAATAATAATAATAATAATTATATATCCTTTATTTTCTGACATGTAATAACATGAATGTAGTGAAGCAAAATTGAAGCATGTTTGTAATATTGTAAAGGTATTTTAGGTACCGATGTGGTGGGAATTTAAAGTTGTTCTTTAATAAACTCGCTTAAGGAACTTAAAGGGCAACTCTGGTCGAAAACAAAACCAAAATGAATGACACATCACTTTAGTGGCAGGAATATGATCACAGCCGAAATATTACGTCAGATTGAAGTCGTGTACTCCACCAAAACCGATTTCAAAGATGCGGCCAGCTGCTCTTTAGCGAGCGGCAAGCAGGTTAGCTTTTAGTCGAGCAAAACTGACGCAGCATCCTCGTGACATCACGGCACAGTGGAGCTGTGGTCGATTGGTTGTATCGCGTACCGCAGCACCTTTGTGACGTCACGTCGCGGCTTCACGACCGATGATCAATGTGGCCATCCCTTTAGCAGATAGTTTCGGTTTTACCGTAGACGGCCGAAACCAAACTTTCAGCCAAGATATTTATAAAACTACACACAATATAGAATAAAAAATAGTTATGCCTTGTAATTTAGGGACATTGCTTTAGCTGAAAACGGTTGTAATCCCAAGTGAAAAAATATTGACTGGAGTTGACCTTCCATTAGCGAGAAGTTCTATTGAATTGGTAGCACAGTTCAACATATGATTATTGCCTGATAGAAATCTGCTTGCATTTCATTTTTTATGCAGTATTCCAAAGTTAAATTCTGTTAATGTAACCACACATACCACGCTGTTAACTAAACAAATAGAAATGTTTAGTTAACGGGTAACTAAACATACACGTTAACAACAAATAAATTGACATAAGCATAAGCAGTTCAATGTATGGATATTGACAGTAAAAATCTGCACACATTGCTTTTTTTCGTAGTATTCCTAAGTTCAATGCTGTTGACATACTGCGGTCTGGAATGATCTGTGGATGATGGCGTCACGAGGCAATTTAGGTCGTTGACCTTTGGTTAAAGCGCATACGGTGTGTGTACCGGAATCCTCGGTGTTATCGAAGGCTCCCAAACTTAGTTTAGCCATATTGTTGCCCAAACAGTCGCAACAGTCACTGACACTGCAACTGTTTAGTCACCTCACCATTCACCATCTCTGCGACACTTGGTGTTGAGATTTGTCCCATTCTGTGGCCTGGAAATTCGAGCGGCAGCCACAAAGATACCCATAGTGCCCCTCCACAGTTTTCACCTAATTTGTTTCAGCAGAAGACAAATCAAGCCATTTATAAAAGAAGAACCTTACTAATAAAGATTGCAAGATTTCCTAAACACTTCTTTCCTTTCTAATTTCCGGTTAATTTTTTTTACTTTCGGCAGAAATACTTTGGGGCCTTCAAGACAAGATGTTTAAAAAGCACGTCGACCTGCTCATCAATGACCGGAAACTAGCGAAGAAGCCTCCCAAGGTGACCCAATTTCCTAAAGTTGCGAAAGTTGTGGTGGATAAGCTGTCTCTACAAAAGCCCTTTTGGACTATTAGCCTAGAATATAATTCAAGAATTTACCACAAATCATTGTACAAAGTACAATAAGTGAAACATTTATCTCGTAGTAGTTACTTCAGAGTGTGGTCATAGTAAACTATGAAGCAGAGTGGCTTACTCATAGTACTCATAGATCACTGAATCTGATCGTTCACCTCTCATTATAAAACTCCTTGCGACGACTCCAGGAAACATGCAGCCCATAGTTTGCTACGCTCTTTATTTGATTTGACTCCACGGTCTTTCAACGTGTCCTCTTGCACTCCCGCATGTGCCATATCCGGCGCAGACTTGGAATCATGATATGGGCCCTGCCGATTTCGTTTCGAGGTTTGAGTATAGGTAGTCATCTGTGTCGCGTTTATTCGGTGGGAAGTGAGCCAGCTCCAATGGGCGACTTGTCTCTCGGCCGTAGGTGAGCAATTTAGCCAGTGCGGTATGACCGCCGGCCTGGCGTCTCTAACGTGCATCACACAGTGGCGATGCATGACCGCACGCGGGTACGACGCTCGTTCGAATCGAAACGGACAGGGCCGGGGGTTGTGCCCAGGATCCCTGGGCTCTGGAGCAGAGTGTCGGAGCAGTTTTTTGTTTCTCTTCTTGCAGATTATGATGAACCGGTTTCCCTATCCCGAATACAACGACGACTCCCACTTCGTCGTCTTGTCGCGCCTGATCGCCATGTTTGTCGTATATGGCTATCTTGTGTTTTCCCCCATCTACGTGAGGAGGGTCATCACGGAAAAGTCCAGTCGTGTCCGGGTGAGCAAGAAGTACAGCTTGTCCCCCTCCATACAAAAAATTTGCAATTTTTTTTTTATTACCACGAAAATGAACTTTGCATTGCCGAACGTCTTTGCATAAATGTAGTGCTAGGCACTTTTAACCAGATGCCAATATTTGAGGCCAAACGGATATCATAATAAAAAGTTTAAACTGATTCTCTGAAAATTTCAATGGGGAAATGGGGCCTGTTCTTGGTGTCTGACACCATTCAGCTTCATGTATTTGTGTGCCTTGTCGGTTGCCATATTTCTTACTAGAAGTATCCGAGAATCGCTTATAACTTTTTTAACCAACTGGCGGTAAGCTCTGAAACTTTGACATTTGGTCTGAACTGCTAGCACCGTATTTGGGTGGCGACTGAGCGTTCGGCGATGCATAGTTCATTTTTGTTTTGTTTCACAGTTTGTTTCGTTTCGTTTCACAGTTTTGCTGTGAGAAAACACTAGAATTTTATTTTACGGGACACCTCTATTAATGTGCATTATTGCATTTTTTTTTTATAAATTAATTTTTTGTCACTTAGGTAGTACAGAGCATAATACAGTTGGTATAAACGACCGATCTTCGATTTTTTATGCTTTTCGTTTGTTCCGCAAATTACTCTGCTGGTGCCCATCCGAAATTTGGATACAAACTCAGAAAACCTTTTCTCTAACATGGCATGGAGTTGGGCCACTTAATTTAATGTAACTTAAATGAAAAAAAAAAAAAAAACTAGGGTTTAAAGGGATACTACAACGAAATTTCGGTGCTCATTTCTTGGTCTGTATGTGTTCAAAGGAGCAGCATCTCATTGAACATACCAATATCTTGTTAAAAAAGTCACGAAATGGAATTTTAAAACGAATTAAACGATTAGTAAAGAGCACCTGGTGGATGTCGCTGACGCCTCGCTTCTAATGCCCGTCTAGGAACCTCGACTGCTAGTGACGGCGGTTGTCTCGCCTCCGGTCACGACGAGAGAAGAAGGGCAGGAGGAACTCCCCTCTTCCCAAGAATGCCTTTTGTGCGTCGCAGAAGTCGCTATCGTCCCCCTACAAGATTACAGAAGATTGACCTGTCACTCAAAATTGGTACAAAAGCAACCGCTTCGGTGGCTCGAACGACTAGGCCATCCTCTCGACGTCAGCCTCGCCGTAGCTTTGCTCGTTTTGAGACGACCTGCGTCGCGATTGCGCTGGATGTCACGTGGTCTCCGCTAGGCCTTTCTTGAGCGCTTGCCAGAATGGGCTGTTTATAAAAAAAAATACAGTCACCAGGCTGAAAATACAAACGTGCGATTGTCATTTACGGATATTGTGGATCATATTCAACCTATTTTTGAATAGGACGGGAATATTTCAAATTTTGTTGAAGTATCCCTTCAAAGGGACACAGAGACACACTGTTGTCTCTGTGTGCTCCTTCCTCTAGTGCACTGGTTCTCAGCCATTGATGTTTCGTGGACCCCTTGTGGATCGGCGGAGATGATGGAGGACCCCGTTTATGATGAGGGGAAAAGATAGATACTATAAGTTAATTATGATAATGGTTTAATGTATGGATATAGCTAAGGGCTAGCGTGAAGTAGACTTCTCTCGTTGACATTCACACGAGAAACCCACCTGAAAATTGGAACCATTCTTCTCAATCCGAAAAAAGACAAATTTTATTGCTGGTCTTGACTGATCAGACAGGGCTTCATGGAATCCCATTTGAGAACCACTGCTCTAGTGAGTCCTCCATCTCTTTCGCAATGTTTTTTTTAACTCAAACCTTTTCTCGTCTGATTCATTCCCTAGGAGCTGATGCGCATGATGGGACTGACCGACTGGGTTTACTGGATCGGCACGTTTGCCAGTGGCTTTCTCGTGATGGCCGTGACGTCTGTCATCAGCCTCGTGCTGTTCAAGATCGAAGTGGCGCCCTTGGCTGCAGTGTTGCTGTACAGCGACTTCTCCCTCCTTCTCTTCATCATGCTGCTCTACGCCACGGGAGCCATACTGTTCCTGTTGCTGTTCACCATAATCTTCAACAACGGTAACCGTCTCTTCTTGCCAGACCACCAGGGGGCCACTCTACCTGCAGCTTGGCACACACCGTCGCGCTGTAACCGTCTCACGGTCTTGTAAGCCGATCGGCGTGTTGGAGAGAGACGTGACCACATTCTGCCTCGCTGGTTGTGACAGTGCTGTTGTAGTCGCAGGTGGGGAGGGTGGAATAGCCGCTCTTGCACGAATTTTAAGCGATGGGGACAAAAGCGATGTCTCCAAAGGGGACAAAAGCGATGTCTTGGACGTGCAAAAGAGGGTTCGTGTAAGAGAAGAGTTCCTCCTGCCCCCCCTTCTCCAACTGCTGTGCATTACGCCCCCGCCCCTGTACCCTTGGTAAGGACTGTCACGTGCCTTGCCTTCTTCGCTCTGATTGGGTCAGAGGAGACGTAGCGTTTGCTCTTTACCAAGATACAGTAAAACCTCGTTATAACAAAATGGGATATAACAAACTAATGGATATAACAAAGCAATCATAATTCCCCTTGCTTGCTAATAGTGGGAAGAAATGGACATTGGCTATAACAAACTAATGGTTGTAACGAAATAATTACGACCGCTCCTTCAACTTTGTTATAACGAGGTTTTACTGTACAGTGAAATGAAGTATAGCACGAGGGTGTTGCCAGACTTATTTTACTACTCTTTCAAATAAATATTTCAAAGTAACTACTGTACACAACTTGTTTTTTTCCCAAGGGCCCAAGACTCGGAAACTATTGTGAAAGATTGATCAGGCGATATACGTCGGCCCATGGTAATCAACACATGGCATATCACCCTATGTGCAAAATGGGCCCATAAACATTCCCGAAACCTGCCCTATGCAAGATTTTCGAAGTACAGCTCGTTTCACGAAAACTCTAGAGGACGAAAATAAAATTGGACCCATAAACCTTCAAAAACAAACTTCTAGTACGTAAATCTGTTTTTTTTTTTGTATTTTTTGTTACCTGAAGGAGCTCCCCATTCCTCTTCAAAGTCACGGTCACGCCGCTAACATGTCCTACAAAAGACAGTCTGCAGGTGCCCTCTGAAGCGTCTTTCTTCCTGGTATGAGAGCCCTGCCACATTGGTCATACAAAAACTCTGCGAGACACGTTCAAAGCACACACATGTGCAAAGCAAACATGCTTCGGACATGCTCGTGGCATGTTTGCAGACAATTCTGCCGCCGTGTCTGCAGCGACCCGCGTGTCTTTGTTATGATGTACAAGCAGCGTAACTGCGGCCTGAAGCTTGAATTCTGTTTTTCTGGCCTCTTCCACACCGCTGCTTTGTGTTCCACTCTGACCAATCGGGACCGCATCGACCATGCAGCGGTGGTCGGCGTCATCTTCTCCACCGTGGGCTGGGTGCTGAGCTACAGCCTGCCGACGACGCTTTTGGACCCGCTGGGTCAGGACAACTACATGGTCATCGGCCGCTCGGTCAAACTGGCCACCTCCCTGTTCCCCAACTGTGGGCTCTACTGGTGCTACAGGCTCATCTCGTACTTCGAAGGACAGGGTGAGGCCCCCGTCGATGCCTGCCTTCTTCGTTCATCGGTCGGCCCTTCTGATCGTCCACGATACGGCGCGTCTGCCTTCGTGCACGGAGTTGTTTTATTAAGGCGGGATTGCATTCCGACAGAAACAGACTCAGGCTTTGTGTTCGTGTGCAGCGAGTCACGTGACCTCTGCTCACGCGACTGGCGGTGCGAGGTTGTCGCAATCAAAGGCAGAGTCAGACTTCAGGGTTTCACGTGCCAAACCTGCAAAGGGATTCTGTCGCCTAGCAGCGTAGGACTTGTGAAAAATTTTGGCTACCTGGGGATCTTTTCACGTGCGCCTTGAATCTAGGCCTTCTCTGCAATAAGCCTCGATCATATTGCTGGCACCGTGGCTGGGACTTAAAACCGCTGCCTAGGGATTCGTAGGCCAGCGCTTTGCATCGGTGCTTCTAGAGCGGCGACGTCACAGTGTCGGTGACGTTATTTGATCAATAGTCAGTGATAGGTTAAAAACTCGGAACCCAGTACACGCTGTACCTCCAGTACGTGCTCGTGACAGCGTGCAGCGTCTTCTCATAGGCAGAAAGCCTGTGCTTGAAGCAGAGCCTCTATTGGGTTTTTAACCTGCCACTGACTATGCTAACATTGGGTGTCGAATCGTACGTAGCTTGAAGTCACGTCTTGTTACCACTTCGCCTCATGTCAGGTCATGGGACTTTAGTTGCAAAGTGTGTAGTGTTGTGTGAATATTCTAAATGTTGAATAGTGGTGTCGAATGATACGCTATTAGATATTCACTTCGAAATGAACTACGATATTAGTATTATTCGAAGTGTTGATTGCGGCGGTTTAGCCCTGTTGAGTTACACCTCTTACCGAGCACAGGTGTGCTACAGAAAAGCAACGCGGTGCATCCGTGCTTGGCAAGAAGCGCACTCAACAGGGTAACCCATCGCGATCGACACTTAGAAAAGCATAAACATCGAAATTGTGTGCGTGGCGGAAAAGCACACTTCTAAAGCAGGATAGTGCTCGCAGACGTCTAATGTATTAAAAAAAAAAGAAAAGAAAAAGGAAATTTTGTGAATCTTGGTACCTACATTGCAGTAAAACTCTTAAAATTAAACTGTGACTGTTATGCATGATTATATGTTAGGCTGAGATGCCCTGCCAACCTGCATTCATAATTTGTGATTCTTTTTTTTTCTTCTCAAATTCGAGATTGAAGAAAAATTATTTGTAAATCCACTCAATCAGATGTAAGATTTGTAAGTCCACTCAATTAGGTATACCATAGAATACTGTGCATCTACCCATTCCGCACTAAGCGCCCACCCCCAAAATTGAAACATCTGAAAAGATAGGCACAGTACATATAGTATATATGTAAAAGTGATGACCTCACATGCACCAATCCCCTAGTTTTTCGCAATTATCTTCATATTTTGAGTGGGCGCTTGCTCTGTATTTTATGGTATCTTTATAGGTTTAATTTTATGTTAAGTTTGTCGTTTAATTCCATCCAAAGGCATCAAACTTTCTGAGGTCACAGTTCATAAATATAGTTAGATTAAAATGGCCAGGTTGAAGCTTGGGAACAACCTTCCTGAGTTTAGATGGGTTTTCATTTAAACATGGTGCAACAGGAGTGAAAAGCTTGAAGAAACTATGTAATATTCGATTTGAAAAATTACTCCCAAAACCACTATTCACTTTGAAATCAAAATCCACTATTCACACGACTTCAAATGTGGCATATAGACTCGACGCTGACGTTTAGTCATGGAAGTATCTTAGGCCGTTTTCTCTTTAACGTATATGTAAATGACATTGTGAATATTGACCGAACAAGTAAATTGATAATATATATGCTGATCATACAACACTTCTGTACGCTGCGAACGATCCTGAAGAGCTCGTGTTAAAAGTGAACCTATTGTTAGGCCAGATATCGGTATGGACAAAAAAAAATACTTTAAAAATAAATACAAGTAAAACTGAAGCCATACTATTTCGATCTAAGCATAAAATTTTCCCTCCAATGAACACCATTACTTTAAACTCAGTAAATATTGAATTAACTGATAATTTCAGAACACTTGGAGTAGTGATTTTGCAGAATATGTCCTGGTATAATTTTTATTATACCAGGACATATTCTGCGAAATCACTACTCTACTATATCGAAATACCAGGACATATTCTTACTATACCAGGACAAATTCTGCGAAATCACTACTCATTAAACTATATTTAATTTTTAAATAGAAAATTGTCAAGAACTGTGGGTTATATGTTGGCATTGGTATATGCTTCCTACATCTGTTAAAATATTATACAAATCATTATTTTATTCCCATTTATATTATTGTTCGTTAATTTGGGGTACAACCACTGCAGCCAATCTTAAAGGGTAACTGCAAAGAAAAAAAAAGTTTTTTTTTAAGCAGCCTAATTGGGTCAAGAATGTCAAAAAAACAATTTTTCCGTGAGAAAAAAAAATTTTTACAGCAATATTTATTGCGTGAGACCGATTTTAGTTTGCGGCTATTTCGACCGTTTTGAATCGCGCGCCACGAAGTTGGTACTCCGTGACGTTGAATACGAATCGGCTGGCTAAGAGTTTGATTGACAGCTTAGATCTTGGTTGTTAAACCTTTGTTATATGTTGCAATTTTCTTTTGAAAGGCATATTTTACGTTTAAAGAATAACCCATGTGATGAGAGTTATTAATCTTTACAAAATGTTTACAAGACGGGCACTTCCGTTTGGATTCATACCATAACAAACAAGAGCTTCGCCATTCTTTCATGGCCGCCGAAGTCTCTGCTCCCGCCTGTCTCGCCTAATCTTTTCGCCGAAATGATAAGTGTTTCGTGCTGACCCAGGTGCTTGAGTGAGACTTCTTGAAGTGAAGTAGTGTGTGTTTAGCAGCTGTCGCAGGTGTTAGTGATAGGAAGCGACGCGGGGTTTTGACTTTCATAGCGCAGTTCTTTCGTTTTCCTCTTTGCTGGCTTAGCGTGCTTTTTGTTTGTTTGCTTGCGCGTGCAAATACCGACTTTTCGGAGATATCAGATGAGTGATCCCGACAGCGAGCCTTCCAGCAGCCATTTTGCCCCGAAAGGAATGCTATTGGCTGGAGGCAATCGGGCATTGGCGTAGCGACAAACGTGTCCAGTTACGCTCTCGTCATATCGCTCTGGAGGCGGTCGGGATTCGCCCCGTGTGCACCTAACGTCCGCGACTGGACACAAAATTAAAAAGCACTATGTTCACTACGTAAAAAGTGGTCTCAGTTCATGCATCTGTAGGCAGGTACGAAATCGTGCCCAAATTTATTCACACTGCACGATGCAACACGTCGCTGTGCAAACGCAGTCCAACACGAAGCATAAAAACGGCCGATTTAGGACAACAATTTGGAGCCCATTGTTCAATTAAAATGACGTAATTTTGTTGAAAGCACGCGCAGCTTTTTACTCACGTTATGCGTTGGGAAACTTCCAATTTTTGAAACAGAACGAGGCAGATTTACTTTTAAAGACGCTCGCTGTGTCCTCCCGGACCAGTTTGACTGAATCAGCTGACGACGACGGGACTGAAATGGTTGAACGTCAACCCCACTACAACCAATTTGCGCTCCGTGTTTGCACCGCATTACACACACCACGAACGCTTCAGCTCTTTGTCGCATCGCCGTGTTGCACCAAACAGAACGAGATCGCCGAAACCAACGCAGCGCTGTCGTGAACCTTGGCTTGTGGTTGCGCACTCATGGATTCTGTGACTTCCTTCGCTTTCAAAGCACGCACGACGATTACGAATGATACTTTCCATCTTCCGGGAACATCACAGGGACACCTTCTCCGGTCACATCTTCGCTACATGTGCTCGTAAACCGCGTCAAACCAAAACAATACCGCCGCCGTGCGTTGTTGCCAGATCTTACCAGAAGTCGAGACGCTGCGTCGTCCAACTCCGCAATACCCGCAACGCAAGAAGAGTGAGGGGCGGGGCATACTCCTTTTTTGCGAGGGTCGAAAGAGCGGGAGTTTCAAATGTGGAAAGGTTCTGACTCCGACTAAATTACGACCTGTGGCGTAAATATTGATAAAAAAAATATTTTTTTTGCGGAACATTTGTTTTGTGACATGCTTGTCCCAATTAGGCTGTTTAAAAAAATACTTTTTTTTCTTTGCAGTTACCCCTTAAGAAAGTGCACCTGCTTCAAAAAATAATGTTGCGAGTAATTGCAAACATACCTTATCTTTCGCACATGGAAAACCTGTTTGAAACTTATAATATACTGAGTATTCACAATCTCTATAACTATAGGCCATCCACAAAACTTAGAACAGAATTTCTTTATAGTAACACTTTTTCCTTGGTAGAATTGTCTGACTTGCAACAATGTATCCTACCATACCAAATTCGTAATCCAGATTACTCGCATGTACCAACGTGTCGACTATACACTGGAAGGGAAATGTTAGCATACCGAGTCCCAAAGCTTCTAAATGTATTACATTCTGAAGGTGTGTTTATAGATAAATTAACTTTGGGTGAATTTTGCTCTTTCATGCATGATTTTGCATACTGTATATGGATTGATGTGATAAGATTTGTTTTCTTGTGCTATTTTTCTCGGTTTAAACATATGTTTTGTGTTGATTTACAAATGTCGACTAATATTGTGCTCAGTGATATTTTTTAATTTCTTGTTTTTTTTCGTATTCATTGTGATTACGCACAATTTTGTTTTGATATTGATACATATTTCCGAAGCTACTGCAGAATGTACTGGGGCTGAGAACTCGTCGCCGCGTAGAGCGGCTTTTTTTTCTTGGCTCCACCATCAGGTGTGATTGAAATAAACTGTTATGTCACATGATGATGTCGTGATGTTATGTGGCATGGCATCACTTTACACCGCAATATTGTGCGGCCGCGTCACGTGATCTCGCATGATCAGTCAAAGTGCTGCAACAAAGAAACGAGAAAACCCATCATACCTTGCACAGTGCACTTCTGCATATAACGGGTTGATCGATGGATCAAAAGACTGACATCAATGTTTTGTGCAGGGATTGGTGCCTCTTGGACCAATATAAATAATCAGGCGGTGCCCTCCGACAATGTCACCCTCCTGGAAATTATGCTGGTCATGATCGGCTCCGTCTTCATCTACGGCCTGCTGTTGTGGTACCTAGACAATGTGTGGCCTTACCAGTATGGCATTCCGAAGCACCCCCTGTACTTCTTGCAGGTAAATGCACACCTTTGTCGCTTCAGAAGGGTAAAGGGACTGCACATTTTCTATAGCCTGCTGTCTTGTCGGGTGTTACTTCGGCCACCCTGGGTCGATCGGCCAGCAGTAGCCAATCACAGCCTTGAGCAAAATCTTCCTTTTTATTGATCTTTGTAGCAATTGTGGTCTGAAATGATCTGCTTGATATACTTGGGGTCATCAGAAACTCCAGGATGTGCCGAGTTTCTCTTTCTAACATTTAAGTCTTTGTACTTTCTTCGAACTAGTTTGTTTACATTCATGCAATCTCTGCGTGTCGCTAAGGTTTTTTGTTGAAACTGTTATAGGTGAGGCATGTGTACACCTAGGGGGAAAATACCTAGTAAGAATTCATTTTTGTTCAGTTATGGTGCCTTATAGGCTGAAAGAGTTGACCAGTATCTGTTGGTCACTTCAAAATTGAAGCTACAATAGCCAATGTTGCTGCTGTTTTATTTAAATGGGAAGCAGACATGGGCTGGTTCCGAACAGCTACATGTGAAGAAAGTTGTTTCCATTGGTATTTTATGACTAAGTTCACTGTAAGCGTAATTTAGCTAAAGGTAGGGTAAGAGAGACTGAGCTTTAGTACTCAAGGAACTCTTTTGGGTCGATCCAGTTTAAGAACCTCTGCCATAAGTGGAAATGAATCATTGATACTTTCTTCAGTTGTGTGTTGTACACAGACAAGTTTCAAGCCAGTGTAGTGTTCCACCCCTGTCATCATTGTCATGTTTGCATGATGGCATTCATGTTCTTGCTTGTGTGCATCTTGTGTGCATTAAGTCATGTGGGCAGCATGCACGACATATGTTGTAGTTTGCTTGTGAGTTTGCATGATCAGGTGTTTGTATGTGCTCCTGCTTGTGCAGACTATAATTCATGCACTATGACGATAGGTTACTAAATATCAGAGCTAAGTCTAATCCATAACTAGCAAAATGGCTTAAACATGAGCTGTAACATGACCTTTTTTTGTGGCTTTATGTCAAGTGGCAGACTATGTTACGGCTTTTTGAACTGATAACGCATCCACTTTTGTTTAGGCACACACAGCATACATAGCATGCTATGACCTATAAAACATTATAGCACTTGCTATGTATGCCATACCAAAATGCTTATGGCGATTCATGGGCACGTTACTGCTAAAATATAACAGTGTCACAGTTACAGTTACTCAGGGTCAAAAAGTAACCCTGCTAGAGTTACAGTTACAGTTACTTTGCTGAAGTAATGCCATTACTTCAGAGTCACTTTACAAAAAATATTATAGAAAACATTCAAAGGAAACCTTCCTTAATATGACTTTAAATTAGCATAAAACTTTTTTTAAGACGTGTTATTAACGGTGGTGAATCTGATTTTTCGAGAAACTAAGATTTTTCTAATATTAACATGTTTGGTTCTTCCTATTTCAGTTTTTACCAATAATAGCTCCCTAAACAAGGTCCTAATTTAAGACAGTATAGGGATGAATGCACTATATTATAAAGCATTTTCAGTTTCTTCTTTTGCAAAATTACAGGCAACTTTAGTTTTTTAAAATTTTAAGCTGTCAGATACCTGCTGATGATTTATGAAGAATTTTCAAATAAGCAAGACTAACAGAAGGTATACACGAATATAACAGCACCTTATGTATTATATAAAAAGGTATACACCTTTTTTACATAATATCTAAGCATCAGATGGAGTGATTACCAAACAAACTCAAGTATAATGCGACCATATTCCTCTAATTAAGTCCGGTCAATTGGAAACGAGAAGCTCTTAATAATTTCTACTTGCTGATCACAATCACCTGAATTGATGCCATGACGTGCCAGTAGGTTAACTTTCCCATTGTCCATCTGGTATTGTAGCAAAATGAACGCGGCGCTGTTTTCTTTTTAGCACATCGGTTTTTCCGTGGTATAGCCATGTTACCGTAAAATACCGAGAAAGTGCCCTCCCGAAGCTTAGAGATAATCTCAAAGAATTGGGGAATGGGCACTTGCTAAGCTCAAGAGCAAATGTGCAGAAGGGGCACTGATGAAGTTAGCTTTGCCACTTTGCGCTGGTGCGCTCGGGGAAGCGGCGGACACGAAAGACCATCTCGATCGGCTAGGTGGGCTCGGAAGTCTGGATCGGACGCTTCACATGTCTTTTTTTTAGCTTTCAAACATTGCAAAAGTAGTGGGTGGGTGTTCATTGTGATGTGGGTGCATGCCCGGTATTTTACGGTATGTGGGGTAGACAGTGCAACAACACGAGTTTGGCAAGTTTTATTTATTTTTTTTGATATGCGCTTTTGAAGCAATTGAGACGAGGAAAAAAAGTATCGATCTTGGGGTTGTTGGCGGCCCTTTCAAGGTCCTTTGAGAAGTAAAATACATAAGGGGGAAAAGGCAAACATTTTAAGAGAAAAAAAGCTAAAATAAAAATGACAGCAGAATCACAAAAGCAGAAGCATTAAACAATGAACGCTCAACCAAGTCAATTGAAGCAAAAGCACATATTAAACAGTAATCAATCAAATTACTCGTAAACACCAAAAGCAAAAATCAAAAATCGATCAAACACAAATCATACAACACCTAAATGACTTCAAAAAGGAGCCAGAAAATGTTTGGGGGGAGCTTTGGTGACAATGAGATCAGGAAGGTTATTCCTCAAAACAACAGTTCAGGGGAAAAAAAAAGAATTAAAAAACGAAGAAATCACACATACACTTATAATGTCATTGGAGCTGCTGAATCAGTCGCCAAATACTTGCCTCTGCAATAGCCTCGCTGAATACACTGATTCTATCGATTTCTCTGGTCGCTCCTACACGCTGCTCCATTTTCAGGCAAGACCGAGGCAAAGTTCGAGCTTAGTTCTGCTTAAAAGGCATGATTCTGAACTCATGTAAATATTGTAACCAATTTTAACCCATGGCAACTGCACCGCGAGCAGTACAACTGCGCTCCGTTGCAGGTTAAGTGACACAAGTGAGGAGGCGAGTGAACTTGCCCCCTCTCTCACATCTTCTCCGACATTCACTTTTTGCTGAAGTGGAAAGAGTGGAGAGCTTTGAGGGAGGAGCTTGTGCCGCTTAACCTGCAACAGAGTGTAGGCTATGTGACAGTGCTCATGCTGAATGGGGGCCAATGCGTCCTGCAGCAGGGCGACGAAAAACCCACCAAATTAGCCAGGAGAAAGAAGCGCCATTTCCGGCAGCCGGCTTTTTGGAATGGCTTCGTCAGCGACTCTCTCTGGAGCTTGCTAGGGCAGAACCGCTGCCAGGTAAGCTGTCTCTCTGTAGATGCTCCCAGCTCAAACTTACCGGTAGATTTTTGCCCAACGGGGTGGACGGTGGAGGTCTCGGGATGAGTCGACGCGGCACGCCATAAAATACCGAGCACGCGCCCACGTCGTGTTGAGTGCCCAACCCCTATTTCTGAAACGTTTGAAACTTGGATTGTGCGAATATTCGAATTTTTGAATAGTAGTTTCGAATAATATGCTATTCGACGCTCGCTTCAAGATGAACTGCGATGTTCGTATTTTTCTGAGTGTTTATCGCGCTCCTTATGTCGGATTCACACGACGAACTGATCCGCGGACGGATTGATCACATGACGACATGTCCGCTGTTCGTCCATCTCCGAAGCGCATTTACACGAGGGACATGATGAGCAGACGCCGGCGAGGATGGACCGAACCTGGTCGCCACCCAACAGCGCCGCGAAACAGAAACATCGCACCGTGGCGCTGTTGTCTAAGAGTGAAATATATGTTTGCTACCGCAATGCAGAATTGTACGCCGCTGTTTACGTACAGTGCGAGACAGAACACCGTGATAGGCTTTGTGCGAAGCACCACTAGCTTTACTAACCCAAGGCCCAACAGCGATACAGGCATGGTCCTGCCCGAGAAGGCTTCGATGTAAAAGCGACGAAGTTCTGAGCACGCAGAGGGGCGTTTGGAGATTCCTTCACGCACTTTGCACTTGTGCACAGCACTGCAGTACAGCACAGCCATGAGAAAGGCCTTGCTCTGTAAATGGCTGATTGGACCTGCAAGAATTACCGTGGCGTGCTAGACAAGTTTTGACAGAAGCCTCTTGACATTGACCCAAAGGAATACCGGAGCCTGCGTCGCAACAGCCAGACTAAGTTTCTGTAGTTTCATGCGTGAAACCAAGAATTGCGTGACAAAATGAACCAGCAAATGCACAAAACACAACGATGTGCCATTTTTGTTTTAATCGCCTGAAAATAAAAACCAAGAAAGCATTGTACCGTTGCCAGACTAAACACTTTCCAAGTCAATCTCCCGCCAAAATCCGCGAGTGAAAAGGCGCTCGACTTTGTCAGTCTGCGTGTTCACAGACAAGGAGTGGATTGCAGGAATCGGTGACGTGACGTTCACATGGTACATGGTCCGTGGATGAGAATCACAATTGGGTCCGTCGTGTGAATCGGGTATTACCAAGCATTGTTATGTTGCAGGGAAGCAACATTTGCAGAGCTCACTTTCGTGGGTGTTGCTTCTCTGCAGTGCACCGGTGTTTGGTAAGAAGCGTGCTCAACCAGGCTAACCTGTTGCGATCAATATATAGAAAAGTACACATATTACAGCCTTTCACTTCAGAGAAAACACACTTTCAAAGTGGGATGGTACACGCACACACATAGTGTATTTAAAGAGAACTAGAAACTCTGTTACTGTTAATATCTACATACCAGTAAAATTTTCAAAATTAATATATTATGCAAGAGTTCTTGCTAGGTGCAGATGCCCCGACATCCTGCATTATACATTAGTAATCGTCTTTCTATTTTTTTTTGGGGGGGGGGGATGAAAGAAAGAAAATTTTTATATAGCCATAAGATTCATAAATCTCTGATTTGGTATAGCTGGGTATCTGGCTTTGTGTGGAATGCGTCATTACTTGTGGAATGCGTCATTTACTTGCCATACCAAATAGGCATTGGAATTTCTGAGGCCAC